AGCGCATTTGTATCCCAAGAAAGAGCTGTTACTTTTCTGCCTTTGTGCTCTGAAGAAACATAAATTCTTTCAGGCTTCCCACGACGTTCCTGATTCAGTTCCCAGACAACAACAAGGCCTTGACTGTAATGAGATCAAATTTACATTACTGACTAGTCTAAGTTTTCGAAAAGGGGAACACCCCATACAGCTCCTTGTAAATATTCAATGTATTTAAGAAAAATAAATGTTTGAAAGAATGGTAAGTTAACAACTCAGGGAAACTCAGCTTTATTCCAAGACAGCAACGAATTCCATTTCTTCCACCCTTAACATGGATAATTTTGGATTTTGTTCTGAATCTACCTGTGTATACTGCAAACTGCATTATTAAGCGTTTAACAGCAGCATTTCAACACGCATGAACTTTTCTCTTTACTTTACAGGAGACTCTTGCCATTCTCGAACTTGTGATTTCACTTATTCACCGCCTCCACCCGATTTTCACTTCTATCATGCCATTGTCATAATCACTGCATCACCGATTTTTGCAGGATTTTTTTGTTGTTGTTACTGGGAGGCAGCAGAAACCTGCCTCACTGTATCTGCAGATTTTGCCATTTGCTGTAATTCTGGAACAGATTCCCCACAAATCACCAGACACTGCTGTACTGAAATGCTTCCTCCCTGAAATAGTTCTATGCAGTTTATGGCCTAAGAAAGTTGATAGGAATGTTCTCACCTTGTAGCGACAGCAACATAGTCTTCATCATGTAAACAAAAGGCAACACGGGAAATAGCACCTTCCTATCCAAAGACACAGCAGACAAATTCATTCTTGTAGCAGCTTCAGCAACGCCCAATACACAGCAGCTAAATGGTCATTTTGATTTAACAATGCAATAGCTTTCTTCATACAAAACTCTAACTTGCATTTCTATACTATAGCTTTCTCAATATACAGTATAATCCCATCCAGTTATTCAACTGAAATCAACAGGCAGACTAAAGTAACTCTGTGTATATTTGCACTGATAATGAAGACTCGTAGCTCAGATCCCACACAACATTTCCCTGGAGGGATTTCTGTTTGCAGGGCATGACATTCTCACCTGTCCCCTCCTACTGCACCCCCCAAAAACACCCAGTGAAATTGCTGCTCCTGGATTCCTTATGCTCCAAAGGTCTATATTTTGTTTTTAGCTTGAGATGTTTAAAACCTTACCTTATGAGTGAGAAACAGCCTCTGCTTCCAGCTGTCTTTTTGGATAAGGTTCAGGCCTCCACCTGAACTACCCAGAGCCAGCCATTTTCGAGATACTGCAAGAGATGTGCACTAAAAAATAATAATAATAATACAGTTACAAGCTAGAAAATACCATGCCTGCTACTTTTTAATTTCTAAGAGGGAAAACAGCAAAGAGAAAGAGGATCTTATTCAATATTAATCCTAAACTATTATTATAATAGTGTCTGCTGTTCTTAAACAGAAACAAAAATACCTTACATTATTTACTTATTTCTTCTCCTATAAGTGCCAAACTTTAAGCAAGTCCCATTTATTGAAAAGAAATCAATTTATAGCCTAGAGGAGACATTACCTGCTCAGAAGCAGCATTACCAAGTGTTGCATTTTCTTCTCTCTACTTAGTCCTTAAAACTGTACTATGATATTTCCCATTACTATGTCTGGATGTGAGAGTTGGACAGCAAAGAAAGCGGATGGGAAGAAAGCTGATTGATTTGAAATGTGGTTTTGCAGGCGAGTTTCACGGGCACCGTGGACCACCCAATTGACAAATAAGGGGGTTCTAGATCAAATCAAGGCTGAACACTCCCTAGAAGCTAAAAATACCAAACTGAAGCTATCATACTTCAATCACATTTTGAGATGACTAAAAAATACAACAGCACTAGGAAAAGTTGAAGGCAGCGAGAAAGGAGAAGACCCAGCATGAGATGGATTGATTCAATCAAGGAAGCCAAAGAACTCAGTTTGCAAGACCTGGTGTTAACGACAGGATGTTTTGGAGAGCATTCATTCATGGGGTCACTGCAAGCTGGAAGCAACTTGATGGCACATAACACACACACACTTAATTCGCTTGAAGAGTACTTAATATATAGACCATCAGTTGGCTCCTACGACTGGTAATTCTTGCATCTTTCCCATATCCCTCCCCCTTCAGTGAAGCTGAGCCAATAGTAGAAAAAAAGATGACTTTGGCCCCGGTCACATGGGAGGATTTGCCCCTCGAAACGGACGGGTTGAGGGCAGTTAAACCGGCGCGTCAGATGCCAGCATCCGGCAAGCATCGGCACCCGCCCCCAACCCACCCTTTCCGGCCGAAGATGCGGATGTAAAAGAGAGTAGTGAAAGGGCATTACCTACCAGATGACGCGCAGCAACGGCGGCCGTGGGATTGCCGACGCGTGGTTATCCCGTGGTATGCGTGGTAATGGCGAACTGCGCATGTGCACAACTGCTGCGGCTGGCCCTCCTCGCCCTTCTTAGAGTTGCTTTCCCTGCAGCATATGATCGCGGCTGCCGGCAGAAGCGCAGAGCCTTGGTGGACATGTCTGATCCCACCGCCGTGCTTCTGTTTGCTCCGGCTCTAAAAAGCCGCACTTCTGCCGCGGCTTTTCCCGCTAGTGTGACCGGGGCCTAAATCCGCTTTTCTCAATAGTTTCCTGACTTATAGGCTATTAGCCTATATGGGTCCTGCAGTCCCAAAGATAAGCTTTCCCAGGGTCGGAAAGGACTGCTGAGACAAGAGAAATGTGGGAAAGATCTATAACCATCACCACCTTCATTGACAGACTGCAAGATCCAAGCCAGTATATTTTCCTTGAAATAAGTTATTTTTGTAAACAAGTGAGCAGAAACAAGCTTATAATTGAAACTGCAGTCCAATTCCTCATTGCATATGATGTGTGCGTAGGGGATAGGGGTCCTATACCTACCAAATCACTGTTAGATGTCCATTTTGTTACTATAAAGATTTTCTCCTCTGCATTTCATTACCAAACCTTTAGATGCATCCATCTTAGTTCTGAACAAGTGCTCTGAGGCTGTGGTCAGGTGGCTAAGGCAGAACCATGCCGAAGGTGAATCCAGATGAGGTAATGCTAACTGGGAAGGCTGATATTTTAGAGCGATTGGATCCACTTATTCTAAAGGGAGTGCTCATGGACCCAGCCTTGCTGTCTGAAAAAAGAAGCTGGCACAGTGGTGAAGAGCACCTTCTATCAGCTGCATCTGGGCCCCCGGTCACACGGGCTGGAAAATGCGGGGGGGGGGGAGTGTGGCTGTTTGCCCTGGAGCAAACTAACGCGCGGCCGCCGGATCCCACGTCCCGCAGTTCGGGGGGAGGTGGTGATCACACGACAATCCTGCAGCGCAGCAAAGAAGCGGCCCAGCGTGATCGCACCAACGGCATGCGCGGTTCTGCGGAGCAACAGAACTTTCACTTTCCTCTTCATGCACATGTGTCGTTGGGTGCTTGTGCACATCCTGTGGAGGGGGGGGGGAACCTGTTTGCGACGGGACATGGGCGGGTGCCGGATGCCACAGACTACCACCAGCCCTTGCCCCGCGTTTTCCGGAAACTAGTACCTCCGAGTACCTCTTTCCCACATTTCTCTTGTCTCAGCAGTCCTTTCCGACCCTGGGAAAGCTTATCTCTGGGACTGCAGGACCCATATAGGCTAATGGCCTATAAGTCAGTTTTTATCTCCGCATCTTCGGCGGGAAGCCTCAGGTTCGCCATGGGAGCTCTACGCTTCCCAGATGTTGCGGTGTGATCGCGCCCGGAAAATCCGCCCATCATCCGTCTCAGTAGCGTGGCTAATGCTCCGTGTGACCGCAGCCCTGGTTTGCCAATTCTCTCCTTTCTTTGACTCAACTGATCTGGCCACTGATCCATGCTTCTGTAATCTCACAGTCAGATTACAGTAATGCACTCTATGCTGGGCTGCTCCTTGAAGTCAATCTGGAAACTGCATCTGATCCAGAATGTGGCAGCCTCCTTGTTGGGAAGAAGCCAATGGTAACCGACCTTACCCATTTTGAAACAGCTACATTGGCTGCCAGTTTGCTTCCAAGCTCAATTCAAGGTGCAGGTTATGATCTTTAAAACTTTCATGCCCTGGTACCCATATATCTGAAGGACCAGCTCCTCCCATATCTTCCTCAGCCTGCCATCTGCTAGCTGTTCCCTCACTGAGGGTGGCCTACCTGGCAATTATTAGAGGCCAGGCCTTTTCTATCATGGCTTCCATTCTGGGGAACGGGCTCCCTGAAGAGAAGAGAGAATCCACTTATTGCAGAGCTTCAGGGAGTACTGCAAGGCTTATTCGTTTGTCAGATTTAAACAAGGTATGAATAACAGGCATTGGGGAAGGAGGGGGAGGTTAAAAATTTTAATGTGTAATATTTTAGTTGTCATCTATAAATCCTCCAGAACTAAGGCAAGGCAGAACTATTTTAACAAATAAGTTTAGTACAGGAGAAACATTTAATTAGCTGCTGACTCTTATAGCCTCAGATGGAGGCTGCCGATTTTCTTTCTTCTTCCCAAAACGCTCTGGTGTGATTTGAAACCTGCTTAACCCAGCATGGCCTAGTCTAATTTAGTATGTAGCACATCCTACACAATGAAGGCCAGAACCATCTTTCTTTCCCTTTCCTTTGCCTTTGTTAACATCTAGCCTGATTCAGAATTTTGGAAAACTGAAAAGACTGTACATTGCTTTGTGATCATTTGTTCGGGCCTAACAAAATGTATTGTATAACGTTTGATTTAGCATATTTTCTTACTGTAACTCTTTTCTTCTGTTTAGCTGTTCAGGTACTAGCAAAACTTTTACTTTGGTGGACCGATTTCACTGATTCCATTCGGGAACTGTTGCATATTTTCATCTATTTAGTCATCTCTACATCAATACACTCCACGTTCATTAAGTAGCTGTTACAGAATAACGTTTCTATATACTGAAACAGCATTGTCACCACGGGAACTGTGATGTAAGCATACCTGGGGGGGTCAACAGTGGGAGGGCTTCTAATGTCCTGGCCCCACTGGTGGACCTCCTGATGGCACCTGGTATTTCTGGCCACTGTGGGATACAGAGTGTTGGACTGGATGGGCCTTTGGCCTGATCCAATATTGGCATCTCTTATGTTCTTATCTTACACAATGAAGGCCAGAACCATCTCTTTTTCCCTTTCCTTTGTCTTTGTTAACATCTAGCCTGATTAAGAATTTTGGGAAACTGAAAAGACTGCACATTGCTTTGTGATCATTTGTTCGGTCCTAACAAAATGTATTGTATAACGTTTGATTTAGCATATTTTCTTACTGTAACTCTTTTCTTCTGTTTAATTACTAGCTGTTCAGGTACTAGCAAAATTTTACTTTGGTGGACCGATTTCACTGATCCCATTCGGGAACTGTTGCATATTTTTATCTACTTAGTCATCTCTACATCAATACACTCCACGTTCATTAAGTAGCTGTTACAGAATAATGTTTTTATATAATGAAACAGCATTGTCACCACGGGAACTGTGATGTAAACATACCTTCAGGCGACTGGAATCCAACCTGAGGGCAGAAAGCAATGGATTGAGGCATTCAAATTCTGCCAATACATGGCTATAAGATTCAGGTACCATTGGCACAGAAGACAAAAATGGTCTCTTACAACTTTGCTATTGACGCATTTTTCAGGTGGCACCTATAGAAAAAATGTAAGAAAGATTAATTTTTCCCTACTTAGCTCCTGTTTGCCTCCAAAACAAGCTTGCTTTCGCCTTAAAAGTCCTAATTTCCATGTTGCTAAAATATCCATGAAACTACAATATTCCCACAGATACCTTAACAATAGTGAAAGCCTTTCTCCGAGCACCTGTCTCCTTTAACTGATACACTGCTCAACTACTTCCTATATTCTAAAATCTACCCACCATCTTAATTTACAGATATACTAAGAAATTAAGACCAGTTTAATCAGCTGGTGCTTTCAAGCCTAATTAGTTACCCAACATGGTTAAGAACAGCTGATTTTCTAAGAGATGTGTATCTGGTGTATCTTTTGGGAACTTTAAATGGGGGAGCATCTGTTTGGCATGCAGAAGGTCCCAGGCTCAATTCCCAGCATCACCAGTTTAAAGATCTGGCAGTAGATTATGTGAAAGACCTCTGCCTGAGACCCTGGAGAGCCACTGCCAGTCTGTGTGGACAATACTGACTTTGAGGGACCAAAGGTCTGATTCAGTCTAAGGCAGCTTCATGTGATTTCATGTGCATAGGAAACCCTAACAACAGCAAAGAATTTTTGCAGGATTAATGCATGATGGACTCATAAACCATATGTTTATTGTTTTTTACAGTGAACTCTAAATTAAAAAACTCTACTTTTTCTCTATCACATCTCTCTCAAGTCTTTCATAGCTGTGATTCCACACAAACAAATTTTGAAAAAGGGATCCAGAAGAGATCCAGGAAACTACAGGCCACTTAGCTTAACATTTATTCCGAGTAAATTGATAGGAGCTGTTATTAAAGAATATTTAAATACTGCTATTAAGTACACTGAAAAACAAAGCTTGTTGAGGGACAATGGTGGACTAGATGAACCACTGTACTGATTTAACAGGGCTGTTCTTATGTTCTAACAGTAAATCGGACTTGAGAATGAATATAAAATACCTGAGTTTCTCTTACTAATCTTTCATTTCAGTACAAAAAAATCAACAAGCTACATATATTACTAGAGAACTACAACTTAATCCAGCAAATCCAAACTACATTAAGCAAAGTTAAATGCAAACCAATAAAATGAAGGCAGCTTCATGTGATTTCATGTGCATATGAAAGCCAAACAACAGCAAATAATTTTTGCAGGATTAATGCATGATGCACTTATAAACCATATGTTTATTGGTTTTTACAGTGAACTCTAAATTTAAAAACTCTACTTTTTCCAATCACATCTCTCTCAAGTCTTTCATAGCTGTGATTCCACACAAACAAATTTTGAAAAAGGGGGTCCAGAGGAGATCCAGGAAACTAGAGGCCACTTAGCTTAACGTTTATTCCGGGTAAATTGATAGGAGCTGTTATTAAAGAATAATTAAATACTGCTATTAACTATTAACTACACTGAAAAACAAAGACTAGACAAACCACTGGACTGATTTAACAGGGCTGTTCTTATGTTCTAACAGTAAATTGGACTTGAGAATGAATTCTTATGTTCTAACAGTAAATCGGACTTGAGAATGAATATAAAATACCTGAGTTTCTCTTACTAATCTTTCATTTCAGTACAAAAAAATCAACAAGCTACATATATTACTAGAGAACTACAACTTAATCCAGCAAATCCAAACTACATTAAGCAAAGTTAAATGCAAACCAATAAAATGTCAGTTGTGCTACAGCTTATTTTATTGTTGCTTGCTGCATCAGGCATCTTTGAAAGGTAAAATATATTATTTCAAGTGTGTAAACTTGGTTCATTATACCACAGTCATTTAGAGCCATGAACTAATTTGATTTCTATATGAGGAAGAAAGCAACAAATGATGTAGAAATTGCTTCCTATTATTTTGGGGGACACTTTCTATTAATTGAGAAGTCACACTGTGGCTTCCCATATTAAAGTTCAGCGACCTCTTAGCAATAATACTGCCTTGCCTACCAAAGCAGCCTGACATTCAAATCCAATAACCACAAAAGATGTGATCTGTAGTACAATAAACGTATCTACAGAAATATCTTTTAAGACAGACCACCAAGAAAATGAATGATCTGAGCTGTCTCAGAGCCTAACTCAAAGAAAACAAGGAGTTAAAATCCGTCTTTAATGTTACAAAAATATTGTTGTACGCTCCCACTTCCCTGACCTATTAGAAATCCCAGGGTCCGTGGGGTTAGGGTTAGGCAGAGGGTCAGTTTCCGTTGCTTGCTGCATCAGGCATCTTTGAAAGGTAAAATATATTATTTCAAGTGTGTAAACTTGGTTCATTATACCACAGTCATTTAGAGCCATGAACTAATTTGATTTCTATATGAGGAAGAAAGCAACAAATGCTGTAATTTCTGTCTCAGAGTATGACTAAATAGATTGCTTCCTATTATCTTGGGGGACGCTTTCTATTAATTGAGAAGTCACACTGTGGCTTCCCATATTAAAGTTCAGCGACCTCTTGGCAATAATACTGCCTTGCCTACCAAAGCAGCCTGACACTCAAATCCAATAACCACAAAAGATGTGATCTGTAGTACAATAAACGTATCTACAGAAATATCTTTTAAGACAGACCACCAAGAAAATGAATGATCTGAGCTGTCTCAGAGCCAAACTCAAAGAAAACAAGGAGCTAAAATCCGTCTTTAATGTTACAAAAATATTGTTGTACGCTCCCACTTCCCTGACCTATTAGAAATCCCAGGGTCCGTGGGGTTAGGGTTAGGCAGAGGGTCAGTTTCCCTTGCTTGAAAGCCACTCAAATCTGACTCTAGGGTTGCAGTGCTCATCTCTGTTTCCAAGCTGAAGAGCCAGTGCTGTCCAAAGACATTGCTGTGGTCATGTGGCTGGCACGACTAGACGCCAAGGTACACGAAACGCTGTTACCTTCCCACCGAAGTGGTACCTATTTATCTACTTGCAATTTCTTGCTTTTTAACTGCTAGGTTGGCAGGAGCCGGGAGCCCACTCCGTCACGAGGCACTCAGGTCTTGAACTGCTGAACTACTGACTTTCCAGTCTGCAGGTTCAGCATATCAAACACTTGATCCACCACAGCCCCATAGTAAAAGTAAAGGTTTCCCTTGCTGGAAAGCCAGTCGAATCGGACTCTAGGGTTGCAGTGCTCATCTCCGTTTCCAAGCCAAAGAGCCATCGGACTCTAGGGTTGCGGTGCTCATCTCCGTTTCCAAGCCGAAGAGCCAGCGCTGTCCGAAGACTTTTTCTGTGGTCACGTGGCCGGCACCACTACACGCCCAGGCGCACCGAATGCTGTTACCTTCCCCACTGAAGCAGTCCCTATTTATCTACTTGCAATTTCTTGCTTTCGGGCGCTGGGGCCAGAGACGGGAGCTCACTCCGTCATGCAGCACTTGGGTCTTGAACTGCCGAACTACCAACCTTCTGAAGCCTGCAGCTTCAGCGTCTCAACCACTTGAGCCACCGCAGCCCCATAGTCTCCAGCCCTTGCTGGAAAGCCAGTCGGATCGGACTCTAGGGTTGCGGTGCACATCTTCGTTTCCAAGCCGAAGAGCCAGCGCTGTCCGAAGACGTTTCCTGTGGTCACGTGGCCGGCACAACTACACGCCCAGGCGCACCGAATGCTGTTACCGTCCCCACTGAAGCAGTCCCTATTTATCTACTTGCAATTTCTTGCTTTCAGGCGCTGGGGCCAGAGACGGGTCTCGAACTGCCGCACGACCGACCTTCCACAGCCTGCAGCGTCAGCCTCTCAACCACTTGAGCCACCGCAGCCCCATACAAAGCGGCAGGACCCAGACGACTGTCAAAAGTATCCTCCCGACCCGCGGAGGACGGCTCGCTGTGAGGGAGCCTTATTGCCGCCTCCTCCTCCTCCAATCGCAAAGCTCGGCGCGCGACTCCTCCTCCGCAACCCGCCCCACGCCCCGCCCCCACCCCCCCTTCGGAGCCGTTGTTCCGCACAGAGCCCCCCTCCCCCCCTCAGCGCGACGCCAGCGGGCCCTGGAACAGGCGAGGACCCCGCGCGGACCGTCCCGAAAAGCCGGACGGGGGAAAAGAGAGAAAACGGCACCTCCGGATCTGCGGGACTCCGGCAGCGAGCTCGGGGAAAAGATGAGGCAGAAGCGGCCGCGTTGTTATCGCCTCGTCACCTTCCTCCCCCCTTTTTTTCCAGGGCACTGTCATGGCGGCGGCGGCGACACGGCCGGGCCTCCACGTGACCCGGGAAGCGCCCGGCGACTGACAGGCCCCGTCACGTGAGGAGGGTAGGCGTCACGGGAGCGGTGGGGGGGCGGTCTTACTCCGTCACGTGACCAGCGCTTCCCCCTTCGGCTGGTGGGGGAAGAGAGAGAGAGAGAGAGAGAGAGAGAGCGCTGCTTCCGGTCACATGTCCCACAGCGGCCGAGCTCCTTGGTCGCCCCATGGCCCGGGAGGCGGCGGCCAGCTCCTCAAGCGGCGGACGGGCTTAGAGCGGTCCCCGCTTCCAAGTTCGCGCTTCGGTATCCAGACCGAGGAGGCGGGTGGTAGGTAGGGGCCCTGCCGAGCCGCGTTCACGGTGGGGAGCCTGGCTGGATTCAACGGCTCCGGGCTCGGAGGCCCGGCTCGCTGGTCCCTGCTGGAGGACAGGAGGTGGGTGGCGAATCTCTGGGCTGCTGCTCTGGTGTGTTGGGTGAGACTGGGCAGTGTCAGTGTCGCCGGGCGAGTGAAAGGTGCCCGAGGACTCATGTGTGACGAGGGAAAAGGGGGGACGTGGCTCCTCTCCCCTTGCAGGTCTGTCTTCTCCCTGTTTGAAACACTCCCTGTTTGAACTGCTGCCTTCGGGTAGAAGATATAGGACAATGGAAACAAGGACGAACAGATTAAAAAAACAGTTTTTATTCGAGAGCTATTATTGCTTTAAATGCTGTATGAAGTTGGAATTCGGGTGACATTGGTGGTTTAGGTTGCAATGTGAACCTTAAGGGAGTTATGGGGTTGTGAATGGTTGTGTGAGTGTATATGTGTATGGCTGTAGATCACTGAAATGATTGCACCTGTAATTTCGTTGTACCATGTACAATGACAATAAAGTATATTATTATTATTATTCATGGAAATGTCGCGGTCAGCCCGTTTTTAAATCTGATCCTCACTGGTGGTGGAGGGAGGGACTTCTGAAACACTGTGAGCTGTTCCGGAATTATGATCTCTGCGTGTGTGGCAGGTGGTGCAGGGCACCCCCCCCCCCCCCCCTTGATGGGGTGCTGTGTGATCATAGTGTAAAATGATCCTGCTTTTTGTTTTGACAGACTGTGACCTGAAAGGAAGACGGTCCTTATTTTCCGAGCGAGGTTGGCTGTTTTAGATTTCGGAGGAGGATGTTTGTGTTGTCCTGCAAAGATTACATAGCATAGATAATAAAAATGAGGATTTTTGATAATATTAGGTGGCTGATTGTTGGTGGACTTAGGTACCATATATTAATAGGGTTTTTTTAAAAAAATGTGAAGTAAAGGAGGGAGAAGCACTTTTTTAGGGTTATGAGATTCTTGCACTTTTTTGGGGGGTGATTGTAAAGCTTACATTTCTTTGTGAGAGAACTTGTGGAGGGGCCTTGATTTCTCTTGTGTTCTGAAAGGTATCCAGTTTATGAGGGCAAGTGTTTTCATTTCTTGAGCTTTGGTGGAGAAATTATTCAAGGGATTGCCTGAGAGGAAGTGCTGGGGCATTGGTAGGCCATTCAATCAGGATGTTCTTTGCTTCTCTGAGGTGAGGGAGAAAGTTCTTGGACTGATATGGGCCTTGGTGTAGGGGGTAGTGCACCTGTGGGTTGTTGTTTTTTTTTACAACCTTGTTATTTTAGATCTGTTTGCAGTCTCTGCAATGGTTAATTTCCTCTACAAAGATATTAACTGTAGGTCAGTGTAGACTTGCATTCAAAGGATATGCTTTGTAGTACAATAATCGTATCTACAGAAATATATCATAGTACAATCTACCAAGTGAATTAATTATTTGAGCTGTTTCAAAGCCTGGCTCAAAGAAAAATGACAATATCGGATTTAGATGTTTGCGATTGCTATGACATTTGTGTGAATTCAAGGTACTGGTTGCATAAAGTAGGTTTAGTGGGTTGTCACTTGTGATCAAGACAAATTGCTTATAATGGATAATATAAATTTATGACTCGTTTTGCAATGGTATTGAATTCTCATTTTAAATAAAGCACAATGTATTTAGTTTGTTGCTTTTTAGTCTGGATTGCAGTCTCAGCAGCTGAACTTGAAGAGAACAAAATTAATCAATGGTTTTCATTTTGAGTGTAAGCAAAGATTGAAGACCTTTCTTGAGAATGGGTTTCTTGAATTCATGCAGCTAAAAAGGTCAATGAAATATTAAAGATAAAGAATACAAGTAGTTCTGTTTTCACTGCATGCTCTCACGCATTAAAAAAGCTGCTTTTAAAAGGGTGCTTCACTGGAATTGTGCAGCGGACAACTTTAACTGATTAAATTAGGAAACAGATTATGGATTGGATCCCAACTCCCCAAAAGCCTTGAACAATTGGGGGGGGGGGTTTCTGGCAGTTCTCCCTGTCTGTTGCATAATCCCAAACTACATTTCATATTATTCCTAAAGGTCCCCTGACGCTTATCAGCATCTTTGTGGGATATGTAGGGGCTGTAGTGGGGAAAAGGAGATGAGAGATTCCGTGAGCAAAGCATTGGGCGACAACTCATTGCTGAGCAGTAGCTAGAACCAGAGTTCCTTCTAAGCTGAATTAGTGTGAGCTAGCTCACAGTTTTTTAGCCTCCAGCTCACACCTTTTGTCTTAGCTCAGGAAGGATGGCTCCAGAGCAAACTAATTTATCCAGTAGCCAGATCGCTCACTCACAACTTTAATGCCAGCAGCTCACAAAGTAGAATTTTTGCTCACAAGACTCCACAGTTTAGAGGGAGCATTGGCTAGAACCACTCCAAAGTATGAAGCCATGTTCCAACTTAAGTGGCTCTTCATTCTACACATTTTGAGTGAGGAACTTTGTCTCAAGAAGCACTTCACTAATTCCAGAAAGGGAATATTTCAAAAGAGTGTTTTCAGAGCTTCCCCAAGTTTCTAATTTTTGTATTGAAAAACATTGAAAGGAAATCAGAGAAGGGGCTTTTTTCCCCCTTGGGCCTACAGGTCTCTAGTTGTCAGTTGTGTTTGAATGGAGTGAAATTGATAATGTGATACTGATATCAGTATAGGCAATTCTCTTTTTTTGACAGTATAGTCAATTCTCTTTTAGTGACAGTGTTGTAATTTTCCACGTATAGGACTTGGGTCCAATGACATGAGAGTTTTATCAATATCACATTGTTATGCAATAATTTTTTTTACAAGATCTGCAATATGTCAACAATAGTAAAATTTCTGTTTTGCCTTCATGTGCGTACAATTAGCACTGCAACTATAACAGTAAAAACCTCACAGGGTTGTGGACCCTTGGGTAGTATGAGATTTGTCTGGGCAAGTGATAACGGTAGGCATCTTGAGGAAAGCTCTGATTCTGTTTAAAGGCTGTTGACATTAATTTAAGCTATGACATGTTTCGACTTGTCTTTGAATAAATAAAATGACTGGAAAAGCTGAGAGCCAAGCTATGCTTGGCGGCTTATGGAGGACTGACTTGTGAAAGGAAAGCCATGGTTTCTGAGTGCAACAAATGTTTCGATGATGATGATGTACCATGTAAAATTTATCTCCATGTTAACTGAAGCTAAACACGTGGAAGCTTCAGAAGTTACTGTTTCACATCCAGTTGCTTAACTTCCTTGAAAGTCAGAGAGCTTTGAGTATGTAGACTTTCCTTCCACTGTCCCTACGGTAGTTATTTGTGGGAAGCAGCAGATTTCCTTAAGAAAACCACACAGAGAAATTTTCTGGTAATGGACATGCAGAACTGCAGTAGGCAAAATTAGAAGGGCTGTGAACTCTTTGGCAGTCAGATATTTTAATGTCCAACATGTAATGCAAAAACGTAAGCACATCTGGTTGGATCCTATGACTCCGTTCAACTAAGTGGAAGAGGCTTCTTCCAGTAGACAGATCCTTGTGCTGTAGAAAGGCTCTATACTTACCTGGGCAGAGCAGTAGGATCCAACCCATAATATAGTACAGTAACAGTAATAGCATTTAACTGTGTAAAAGTTACCTTCTGGAGGTTCTTTGTTAAACTGCATCTTGGTCACTAATAGCTAATTTCCCCCCCCCCCGGGTGGGGATTTTTTATTGCATTTTTTAATAGACTACAAACTACAATGAAAAATTTGGGAGGGGTAACTACATCTAGGGAGAAAGGAAAGAAAACCACAACTAACTAAAACCCCAAGTATATTCGGAGATCATAACAACAGCTTATATAAATGTTAATCAGGGATCTTTTTGTAGCAGGAACTCCTTTGCATATTAGGCAACACACCCCTAATGTAGCCAATCCTCCAAGAGCTTACAGTAGCCCCCCCTGTAAGAAGCGCTCTGTAAGCTCTTGGAGGATTGGCTACATTAGGGGTGTGTCGCCTAATATGCAAAGGAGTTCCTGCTACAAAAAGAGCCCTGACAGGGCTCTTTTTGCCGCCAGAACTCCTTTGCATACTAGGCAGCACACCCCTACTGTAGCCAATCCTCCAAGAGCTTACAGAGCTCTTCTTACAGGGGCTACTTTAAGCTCTTGGAGGATTGGCTATATTAGGGG